CCCACAGCCGATTTGAGCTGGGGGAGCACAGAGGGGATCTGCCACCGAGCGCATGGGGAACCCCCCCACACACTCCTGTGCAATGCTCCATGCGCCCCACGCTCCCGGCGTTCACAAGCTGCGCCGGGTACCTTGAGGTACGTAGAAAAAACGTAAAGCTGTGTCTATAGCCGAATCACTGATTCTCTGAATCGGAATTGAATCAGATTCGGCTGAATTGAATAGGGACAGGGATCCAAATCAGCGAATCAAATACTGCCCGCTTCACCCACCCCTCCTCCCTGATTCGCATATCAACCACTCTTGTCATCTCCCATTTCTTCCTGATATTTTTTTCTCTCTCCATTTGAACCAGAAGCACCACACTTTTGATGTTATAAGGTCATTATCTTCTTATTTAAACAGAATCAACCTATTTGGAGGTACACTCATTTTCTTTGTGGTTTTTCCTGTAATAGTTAAGTGAACAGTGGCATCATCACAGAGACTAAATTGGTCTTGGACTGTGTTAAAATTTGTCAGAAACTAGCTTAGAAGGACCCACTTGGATAGGTTAGGGTCTGTTCCACCCATGCCCTGGTGGCTTTTGTGACCTGTCTGCTAAGTGCTCCTATATTGGAAACATGGAGTCTTTTATGATACTGACTTCCTAGCTGTGTTCTGTGCAAACTCCTGGTGAGGACAGGTCAGGTGGCAGGGTTATAAGTGTTATGTTCTGTGTCTGACCCACCTTCAGGGACCAATTCTGTGATCTCTTTGTGATCTTTATATTACATATATTGTGACTAAAACAATTATTTAAAAAAAACAAAACATGAAAAACTACTTTTTTGACAGATTAAGGATTTGTATTCTAAATATTTAAATGTGTACTATTGTCAGGCTAATGTGTGTCTTTCTATCTTTTAAATAGATTTCTTCCGTTCAGAAAAAGAGTGCAGATCTAGGACAGGAGGAAATCGTCCAGCTGTGCATGAAAAATATAAAATGGGTGGAGGATCTTTTTGAAAAATTTGGCGAACTTTTGAATCGTGTCCAGCAGAAATGTTTATAATATTTTTTTTTTTTTTTCCAAATCTCAAGTTTTTCTACAGCACTAACCTGATGGAACAGAAAGCTCAGAGTGAGGCTCTGATTACTCTTATAATGCCAGACTACGTGCTTATTCATAGGGATTTCATTTCTCTTTTGGAACTTTGTGCCTTGGCTCTAGCTAAGGAAAAGTGACGCTGCCAAGGAAATTAGTCCTTTAGAGATGGAACTAAACAAACATAACCACATTTTTAATCTGCAAATGATTTTTATATTTTGTAAACTATTGGGTAACTTTAGTTTTATTTTCAAAAATGTTTTTGACAAACGATAAAGCATGCACTAATTATAGTTTTTTCTTTATTGCTTTGGAGATAACACTTAACACTGTGGCTTTTTCTGACTGAACACCAGAAAAAGTCAGGGTTGGGGTAAACTAATATTTGCATTTCTGTCTGGCCACCAAATTTAGAATATTGTACATTTTGTAAACAGAGCTGATGTGACATCAAATTCTGTATACAAATATTGCCATCATAAAATTCAGAAATGTCATTATGCTTTATGGACTCCTTTTACTATTAATCATGTTCAGGATGCTGGACATGGAGTTGGTGCAATCCTATGACTGCTTTTTGTGTCAAATTATATTGTAATGAAAGACAATGACCTTAACTATTTTCCCTGTTTTGAAGAAAAATATTTTCCTTTATACTGTGTTTTTTTTTCTTTTGGAAAAAAATCAATTGTACATTTTATCTCACTAATAGTTGTATTTTTCACAGAGGAAATATTGTGGTTAAAATTGTTTCATGTACCTTTGTAATACACTTTCCATTGTTTTCAGTAAATCCTATTCATTTATATGTTGATTTTCATATTGTAAACTATATATCTTGAGGTAACCCTTTTTGTTTATACAGGTTTGCTTCAGTGTTAACCAGAATAATGCATACTATAGACTAGTTTTGCTTTAAGTGTAGTTGTGTTAGACACTGCAGTAATTTTCTGATACGTGAAAATAAATTTCTTACTAAACTAGTACATGATTAATTGAGAGTTTAAATGAAGAGCTACTACACTTTTTTTTATCATTTTGTCAACAAAGATTAATGATTGATTAGACTATATGCAGTGTTAAACACAGCTTACATAGTTATTTTTAGATTTAGTAGTGACCAGAGCTGTTCTCTTTTTGGTGCCTTTCAGATCTTCAAAAATACCTTCTTCTTTTTTTTTCTTTTTTTTTAAAGCTGTTTTTCATTTTAACTGTTAGCAGTGCCACTAGTCACACTCAGACTATGAATGTAATAGACTCAAAACAGTAGAACATTTTCTTTAATTTTGCCAACAGAATGCCTTACTTCAGTCATTCAAAATGTGTATACTGCTGGGGTCCTAAGGAAATAAGAAATGTCAGTTCTTCCTTCAGATAATGTAGAAAAAATATTCATTCCTTTATCTTTTTGCTGCCACTTAGTGCCTTAATTTCAGCCAGGAAAGCAGGGTTTACCATTCAGTAGCCAAATTAGATATGTTTGAGGTTCAGAGTGATCTGTTTTTCCATTTTTTTTCCTGTTTTGGTTCTGTTTAGCTATTAATATATTTCTTAGACCATAGAATTATATAAAACATAATGAAGGGATGTGAAAATGGAACTATTTCATCTCAAGTAATCAAATTAGGGGTTCAAAAAGAATAAGATAGAGTATTTTAATTGATAGCATTTAGATTCTTATTGGATAGTGACCATATTTTCAGAGCTTTTTATCTTATTAAAAGCAATAATTCTCCTTTATATTTGTGAACTGACTGGAATGGAAGTGGGTAAATGCCCCTTCCCTATTTAAAAGCCTTTTCATACTTCATCTGTTGTAAAATGGCAGTTTACCAGCAAATCGACTGAGACATTGGCTGCTTCTGGGCCTGTCATAATTGAGAGGGTTGATGTGAATTTTGATTTAAAAAGAACAAAAGGTTAGAAGTACATGCATCTAATTTGTTCTTTCAGTGAACAGGAGGGAATTGAGGTGTTGGGGATGGTGGGAGAACCGCCATTTTTTTTTTTTATGCAGTAATGAATCTTGTAAGATATGCTTCTTCCTCTTCCTGATTTTAAAGTTCAACTTGTACCGATACCAGTCAGTGAAGTGACAGACACCAAGACTGGTCATTTAAAATCTGTTAATTTAAATGGGACTATTAAGTATATAGAGATTTACCTGGTATATCCTTTAATCTGTAGGTTTAAAAATAAATATGATATAAATTGAGGGAATAGTATGGCTGGCTCCCTGATTATGTAGTGAAGTGCTAGTCAGAATTTGTTAGCTACAGGTCCTTCACAATTTTACAAGGAAGTAGCAAATGAGGATAAGCTTCTCTTCATTTTAATAACTTAAGATGTCTCTACTTCGGTACTTCCTATAAAAGTCTGAATGGAAGTTTAGGAGACCAATCACTTTAGACCAAGCCCCAAACAGCCCTCAGACTACTGGAAATCATAGTGGCTTTTTGGGTAACTGGCCTTATAAAAGCAGGTACATTTAAACAAAAAGAAATTAGATGGACATCGTGTTTGCTGTGTTAGGGAGGAGACTTCACTCAAGCTCATTCCCCAGGTCATCAGACCAAGTATTCCACCTATAGATGATAGGGTGTACGTTGCATTGCTTGAAAACAATCAGTCCAGCGTAGTAAAGAGTAATATAAAGGAGTTCTATTCCATTCTTTGCTAGAATGATGGTAGCTGGATTATTAGGGTATCAAGCCAGGATATATTACAAATCTGGAAAAACTGTAAGGGTTCAATGGACCATTAAGAAAGAATAAAACTTACTGGGAACCGAAGAGGAATTTTTATACTGAAGCAAACTTAGAAAAAATGTCAATGTAAAATCGTTTTTTTCCCACAAGTATCCTGCTTTGCTCTGTTGCATTTCAGATTACTGTGGTTGGATAAGAGTAAATTCTGCATCACATCCCAATCATCTTTCTTCCTTGATACAGCGGTGAAGTCCTACTGTCTTAACATCTTTTACCAATGGAAATTCAGCATTAACTTGACTGCAAAAACAGCTAGAAGAAAAGATGCGCTAGGAAGTAACAAAACCCTCTTTAGACATTTCACTATATAGCAACTAGAGAAACTAATGAAATTCAATGTGTGGTAATTGAATAAGGCTTTACTTCTAGCCCTTTGGCTCCCAGCATATTAGCAGTCTCTCTCTTGGTCTCTTTCTCTCCCTTCCTCCTCCACCCCCTCTCTTTTTTCACTGAAATACAGTATTTCTGTAAAGACAGGTTCTTTCCAGGCTGCTATTTCCAAAGTTTTGCTAGTAAAAGGCAGAAAATAAAAAGGTGTTGAAAAAACTCTCTCTGAAAAAAACTACAGGCTTCAGAGCCTCTACAATCCTATGACCTGTATCATATTTATATATTGTTTAAATGATATACTTTAAAAAAAAAAAAAAAAGGAAAATCTTTCAATCTGTCTTCCAATAAATGCTTTCCATAGGGGATATATATTTTAAATATTATTTAAATATTTGCAACTATTTAAAACATTGAAAAATAAAAAGCTAAGCGTATCATCGCAAAATGTCAGTGTGTATTCACTTCTGATTTTGTTGGCAGCACCTGACATTTTGTTTTCACCCTGTCACCTGCCTGTGCAAACACAGTGCACACTTTGCCATATCTTATTGTTTAAGTTAGTATTAACATGTCATTGTTAACAAATGCATGTTTCTGCATATCTCCTTGACATATGGCAAAAATGAGGTTAGGGCTAATAAGAGACACTTTATGCATTTCTAGTCCAGATTTTCAGCTGGTCCATAATATGATGTATGGAAATGTGAAAAAGGACACAATTTTGTACCATTCATTTGATGTTATTAACTAAACCCATTAAAATGAACACACTTTTTAAACAAAAACCTCATAATGCTCAGTTTTTTATTATTATTAATGCAACAAAACTTGAAAAGCCAGACTGTTGAAAAAATTGGCATGTTTGAGACAAACTGTTTTCTGATCTTACCTATTATGAGCAAGTCTCCAAATCCAATGTAATGTTTCATTATACTTTTTCAGTTTGGATACCATGTTAATTTGAACTGATGTTTTTAAAATGAAAATTTGCTGTGCTTCTCTTTCCAAATGTTTTTAAATCTATTTTCACTGTACAAATATCATTAAGATAGTTACTTAAACGTATACAAAATAAGAAGACAGGAATTCTGGACACTGGTAAAATAAGACCGTATTTCCTCCCTCATGCACTTGGTTTTAAATTTCTTATATGTGTTGCACCAAAAATAATATTGCTAGAGATTTTCTTTTGCAATTAGGATGAAGTATCCAAATTATTCACACGTGTGTATGTATATAATTGTTTTTCCCACAGAGGGGAATTTAATGTCTCACAGGTTTTGACTTTAGGCAAGTAGCCATATTCTGCCCTTTCTTTAGCCCCTGTGAGCAGAAATAGGTGGGTCTTGAGTCTTGAAAAGCCTTTATGAAAGGACTGGGCATCTGAACTGCTTTCGTACTCCTGTGGCAACCTAGGTCTGGAAGGACTCCAGTTTCCACAGAGTTCTTCATTACTACAGTCCTTCAAACATTCTTTGGGAGGCAATGCTCATATAGATCTTCATTGCAATGGAGGGATCTGAATATATTAATGTCACATTCAAATGCAATTAAGTGTATTTCATGAAGGATCTTTTAAAAGATAAAGCCAATGAAGAACCAAATGCATGCAACCCCTTGATTGAGGGGAGGGGGGGATCAATAGGAATGCACCTGTCACTCTCAATAGTTTATTAAACAATTTAAGCCTTCAAAGAAATCATCTTCCCTACTTCTTTTCCCTCTTCTTTCCTCCCCTCCCCCCACTGGATGCAGTCATCTTTGCCCATGAAGGAGAAACAACATCTAGTTTTTGAATGAAGTTTTAGGAGTCAATAAATAGGGCCACTGCCACTGTTTATTCAGTGAACTAGAAAGCTATGCATACTCCTGTTCCTCATTAAAA